CAACAACAGTTCTTTTCAGAACTACCCCCACACGGATGATCACAGTATACAAACTACCATCACACAATGATACAATTATTCATTCCAAACTCTTGACCTTTTATCTGGAGGTCGCTGTCAAGAATTATCCACCACTGTAACGTATTGAATTTTCACTTTTTTTTATTCATTAATAGGTCGGGTTTGAAAATGATGAATACCTCTTCAGCAGCAACTGAATCATCTTCTGACGGACCTTCAACAACAACACAACCAGATACCACGCAAACAACCACCGACAAAACTTCAAGCAAACCTTCAACAACAATGCAGCCAGTTACCACACAAACAACGACCAAGAAAACTTCAAGCAAACCTTCATCAACAACGCAGCCAGTTACCACACAAAGAAGGACCAAGAAAACTTCAAGCAAACCTTCAACAACAATGCAGCCAGTTACCACACAAACAACGACCAAGAAAACTTCAAGCAAACCTTCATCAACAACGCAGCCAGTTACCACACAAAGAAGGACCAAGAAAACTTCAAGCAAACCTTCAACAACAATGCAGCCAGTTACCACACAAACAAAGACCAAGAAAACTTCAAGCAAACCTTCAACAACAATGCAGCCAGTTACCACACAAAGAAGGACCAAGAAAACTTCAAGCAAACCTTCAACAACAACGCAGCCAGTTACCACACAAACAACGACCAAGAAAACTTCAAGCAAACCTTCATCAACAACGCAACCAGTTACCACACAAAAAACGACCAAGAAAACCTCAAGGAAACCCTCATCAACAACGCAGCCAGTTACCACACAAACAACGACCAAGAAAACTTCAAGCAAACCTTCAACAGCAACACAACCAGTTACCACACAAACAACGACCAAGAAAACTTCAAGCAAACCTTCATCAACAATGCAGCAAGTTACCACGAAGTTACCAGAAGGTGCACAAGAAAATGTTGTAATTTATATATGCAACTCAGGCCAGGTTGTTTAAAGCGCGATAAGGCTAATGAAGGGTTAGCGGGCTTTTGATTTTAATTTTTGAGCTTTTCGGTGAAGGTTTTGGTTTCTATTCTCCATCCTCCAGTGGATCACCTTTTAATCCTGAATTAGTGCCAATCGCTTTTGAACAAACCGGCTCCGCAGTACACATAGTATTAGTGCCTGTCTTTGGGTCCTTCTGTAGCTTCCTGAAATTAAAGGGCAGGCTGCAAAAAGCAGTCTCTATTTTTCTCTCTGTGATCCCATGGCCATTCGATCATCTCACGTTTACCACAAGTTTTTGGACCAACCAACGTGTACTACAGTCTTTCTGTTTTACAGCCGTAGTTGTTAGGTGAGAAAAGTTGCAATGTACCTGCATGGGTGCAGGTACAGAAACTAACAATTCTCTAGAGAATGGGATCATGTAATCTGAAGCTGGCTACTTGTGAGGTATTCTTCTTACCCATAACTGGAATGGGGTTCGCGAGTTCGCAATTAAGACAAATCGACAAACCGTTGCATTTTTTGCAATACTAAGAGAAGGGATTTTAATGGTTCTCTTGGAGACTGATTCCAAAGTCAAGCTTAACAATTCTAAGAGTTGCTATGTTTTTGTTTTGTTTTGTTTTGTTTTTTTCCACATTCTTCGATGTGCAGATGAAAAGAAAGATAATAAGACTGAAAGGTAAGACATTTCGCAGAGAACAATATTAGATGCCTATTTACAGACTTATAATAATAATAATAATAATAATAACAATAATAATAATAACAATAATAACAATAACAATAATATAAATTGCAAAAAGACTTTTTTAAAAAGAAACACTTTGAGTCTATTTTTAAAGACAGACACAGACAAACTATTTCTTATTTCAAATGGTAGAGCATCCCCTAGTGTTGGTGCTACCACAGAGAAGGATCTTGGGCCACATGTAAAGTAAGTAAAGTACAGTAAGTAAGTAAAAGCTTTATTAATGTGTCATTGTATTCAGTTTTCACAACTAATTGGGGACAAAAAAAAAATCAAATTATTTACAAATAAGGAATAATATTAAAAATGTATATACAATTAAAATAAGTAGCATGTATAAATTGTACAATAAACAATGGGTATATAAGAGGTAGTCTCTAAGAATTGCAAAGGTTACAGCAGCTATTGTTGTTGTTTAAGAGTGACGTTAGATCTTTTCAAGTTATAGTAAGATGGAGTTAAAAGAAGATGCTTGAATGACGAGCGTAGCTGACGTGATGTAAGCATATCACGCATGCACGACGGTGCAAATTGTTGAGTACCTTGTAAGTTATAAGTTATGACAATGTCTCGGTGGAGAATATTTTGTATTCGTGTAAACTTGACTGTTGGGTCAAGTTATTAAGATTGATGACTCGTTAATACAGTCAAGTCTCGATGCCATGTCTTTAGAAAAGCCCACTCCAGAATCCCACGCTGCTCTTCTCAAACTCAATGATGATTTATCAAGTTTCAACTAAAGAAACCATGATTGTGACGGTGTTTAGATATCTGATGTTAATAAGCATTTATTTTATGATTTTAGACAGTGTGTGACCATAGTTAATAGAGGGAAATGGTTAAGAAGACCGGTAAGCACGAAAGAGGCTAACGAACAGACTAAGATTTTTGTTGGAAAGTCCTTGACCCTGCACATCTTTTGTTTTATGCTCATTGACTATGCATGAATTGCATAATCACAGTGCTTCTATTGGTTAGCTGTATGAGCACAATTTACCACCTTTTGTATTTTGCCTGATTTCCCTCTATTAACTATGGTTTGACCACGTTTCCAAACACCTTCCCAGTGTTTGGAATGTGGTGAAACGCAGTATTTCGTGTTTGATATATGACATCTAAAATGCATGCAGAAATGTTGTTAAAATGGGTTTATTTTTTTACCTTTTCAGCAATAAGCTGTTGCACCATGCAGGCAATTTTCCTGTCATTTTTATGCTGATGCTTGTGGTTGTGGTGGCTGGTTACTTTGCCTATCACAACAGAACCAAGGTTGGCTAGTGATTTTCATTCATTGTTTTTAAAGGTTTATGAAGCTGCATGTTGATCTGTTCCAGTCATGCAGCTGAATCACCACTTAGGCTACTAGTCATGATGAACCTAACTGATCAAGCCTGTCAGGACACCTGTCACTGCGCATGGCCTAGTTTTATATTTTCATTTTTACTTGTGAGGACTTCGCCTCTCAAATACTTACAAGCCTGTTAGCCTACCTGTGAAAAACAATTAGTGGAAACAAAAGTTTATAGCAATGAACTTTTAGAGGAAGTGATTATTTAACACTGAGTAATTAAGTTAACTTGTTCATTGACATTAAACCACTCATCTTGATAACATTAATTTTGCTTATCAGATCCATCGATTCATAAAGGAAGGCTTTGGCAAGGCAAAGCAAACAGGGTCAGCTTACGTCAAAGTCAAACTGGAAGATGATATCGAACTACCGCGTGAAGCTAACAGGCAATACGTCTATTAAAACACGACTGGATGTGATAATAGGTAGAAAAGAAGAAAAGTAGCTGTGAAACAGCAAATACGCTATACTTTTCTTCGAAAACAAAGTCATGTTAGTTTCACCTCATGCATAGTCACTGTGTTTAGTGATCAAGTATTTCATGATGTCGCATTAGCAGCTCTTCACGCCAACGAAACTACAGGCTTAGGAGTACTCTGAGAATGTCATAGACACGCTTGAAGGGAACAATGAGATTCGTACCTTTTTAAGGGTTTCAACTGCGTTGTTGATACCACTCACATGTACTAGATAGTAAACTATAAGATCTCACATTTGCAGTCATTGTGGCCTAAGTAGGTTTTCCTTCGCAAAGAGATGTACAGTCTAACCCCTATTAAGTGGCCACCAATTAAACAGCCACCCCTATTAGGTGGCCTGTAATCAAAGTCCCAATGATGGCTTTTCTATTGCTTTTACCAGTTGCATTAAGCGGCCAACCCCTTTAAGCGGGCACTACCCATTGCCGTCCCCGAGGGTGGCCGTTTAAAAGGGGTTAGACTGTAATTATTGAGAAATGCAATTGTATTTTTAACTTCGAAATTTTGTATCGTTTTATCTTGCTGTAGGATAAGTAAGTAAGTAACTTTATTTAATGAGGGTAAAAACACTTTAGTCATTGACTGATAAACTCGTGGCCCTCCCTTAAACAATTAAAATATAAATCACAATGATTTTAAAAATATCTAACTATGAATAATAAGTATAAAACTGGTAAAATTACCAACATCAATAAAATGGACTAGAATCTTGTTGGTGCATGCGATACAAAGAGTTAGAGGACACTAAGAAATTGTGAAATGTTCAATATTTGCATACCCCTTCTTTATAAGCTTGACGCATTNAAATATAAATCACAATGATTTTAAAAATATCTAACTATGAATAATAAGTATAAAACTGGTAAAATTACTAACATCAATAAAATGGACTAAAAACAGTGTCCTGTTTTCAAGTCTGACGATATTGTAATCCATTCCCATCCTCGCCATCGATATTCATTGTCACTTCCTAATGAGTTCCTTCATCAAGCATCAAGCCACGTGTGTTTTTTTTACGATTTAAATACTTTTTTCCTAACAGAGACACCACGCTGTTGTGTATGAAGAGCAAGGTTGGTGTTCGCCAAAGTTTATGCAGTTCCTCATCGTCACGCTTGTATTTTTCATGGTTGTTAGGTAAGGTTTGCTTCATAGGTTCTCAAAATAGGATCATTCAATTGCGCAAGGGAGTATTTCTTGCTGCCTGGTTGTTTCTACGTTTCCTCGTCTAAAAAGCCCTTTACTTTACTCCTATGGCTCTTCTACCTCCCTCCTCTGTGAAGTGAAGAGTTTACGGTCTCAGGTTTCTTAATAAGTGGAAAAAATGAAACATTCTTTTTAGTGCCCACCACAACATTTTCGATGCAAATTGTAGTAGACACTCGACGAACGTTAAGTATAAAATGCTTGAGTATATACAAAAAAAAATCGGTTCGGTTTGCATCATATTAGGTCATCAATCCATGCTTGTTATTGCAGCATGAAATGACTAGAGAAGTAATGCCTTAAATATACGAGGTGCTAGTTCATTGCAGATCATCAAGCTTGTCTGTGGCAGTATTGAAGTGTTTTGGCCAAGTAATAGCCTTGCTCTTTTGGAGGTCATGTATAAATTCTGTTAATTTGGAATTGTTTTCCAATACAGCATTGCAGGAATGGCGACCATTTACATCTTGCAAGACAAGGATGATGAAAGTTCTAAAAACAACAGTCAGGGACATTCGGGAATGGGCCTCGGGATCGGCAAGAACGATTCGAACCCACCCAGCCTGACAACAAACCAGCCTGCTATCTCGGATGTCCACTCAACCACCACCACTGTGAAACCACACAAAAGTACGACGTCTGTGTCGAGATCAGATCATGTTTTCACGGACCTGCGAAGAAGCCAGAGCACTGGAACAACGCCGCCAGGCATTGTAGCAAGACCGAAGACAACCTCAAAGGCAGTCGGTAATTTTCATTCCAAGAAACTAGTCTTGTTCCCAGTGACTGGTAAAGTTTCTGCTGTTAAAATGGAATTTTACTATCCAATCAGAATCGGAACTTTTTCGTAAGTTGCTTGAAAACGGGCTCGGCTATTCTGAGAGACCAGATTCTAACGGATTTTGCCATATTGACCAACTTCTGATTTCTCCTTGCCTTTCCAGCTTATTGTCACCAGGACGGTCATAAGAATATAGAAACCCATCTACATAGAGATCTTGTTTAAATGTAATACGTTCAAATTCTGAAAACCAACATTTATTAAAATACAGGCGGGCAAGCAGCTACTGAAAATAGCTTTTGAACTGAAGCCCATTTCCAACGTAAGTTTTCTTTTTTTCTTTTCGTAGCAAATCAATCTTCGCCAACCTTGCAGTCAACCCCCAGATTGTCTAAGCCCAGTGAAGCGACACCGGTGAGCGAGGGGAAAACAACGCCGCCCAAGAGTGGCCAGTGCTGCAATCAGAAAAACATGGAGTATCCTTCCAAACTACTACAAGGAAAAGAGGTCTATGATGACAAGCCCAACATAGCTGGCAGTAAGTAGTGTTTTTGCCTTATAAAAAAGGAATAAAGGGGTGAAAAGGGTATGTGAGTAATCAAATGACACTGGTTATGTTGCCTTATTTCAGGGGTTAGTTGGTTATTGTCTTTAAACGTCTTAAAAATTCTAATTTGCTGCTCTCCATCTCTCATCTGACCCTACTTTTCTAAACTCGGGAAAAATGTGTGGACTGAAATGACTTTTAAAATTAAGTGTTAGATTTGTTGTTTTGAATATTTGCTGAATCGATGCAAGATTAAGTTTCGTCTACTTTTGGTCCAATCTACAAATTCTGGCTCGATAGATGATCGTTTTTGCATGTATGTAGGTGAAATACAGCCGTGTACAAGAATATACAATACAGTTATAAATCTGCATTACACATTTTCATTAACCTTCCTCTCGTTTTGTACTGTTTTACTCCAATTTTGTAGGTTTGCCTAGCACCAACTTACATGACCCTGAAATTCGCATCCTGGAGAACAACTACGTCATCACGTACTGTAACAAAAGGTGAGAACTGATCACCGTCACGTGATCATGACGGTGTTGCAAATGTTACTTCCCTGTTAACACAAGATATTTTAAGTCAAATTGCTATGTTACACTAACGAGAAACCAGTCATTAAAATTTGACTAATAAATAGTGCTACCATTGAACACCGTTGTTGCATCCGTTTCTTAATAACAAAAGCAACAACAACAACATACACAGACACTTTATTACTAAATAAAAAAAACTCTTAGTTACAAAAGAAAGATAATTGAAACAGAAAATTAGGTAAATTCATCCAGAATAACTTAAAAGCTAATCGAGTTGAGTGAAATTGGTTAGTATTTACATAAAGAAGTTTACTGATTTTATTGTCTTTATTTTTGTTGTTTTGCTGTTGCAGCTCTCATAACTCATCGCATTATATTCCATTCAGCGCTGACTTGCCATTTCAACCCATCACGCTCGAAATCAAGTAAGAGATCCTCCTTGTTACCTCTACTTTGATCAGTTTTATATCTGTTGCCCTTAAAAGTAGCTCCCAGACGCGTCTCTATCGTGCTGGTACAAATCCACCAATGACGATGAAGGTGCTTTCTTTCTGGTCAATCAGGTGGAAGCCCGGCCAGGGCTCGGACTCAGGCAGTTCGATACCGGAGACGTGCGCACTGACCATGAGGTCACCGCGCCTCCAGATAAATGGAATTCCGTTTATCTCTGCGGTCTTCAGTTATAACTGAATGAATTCATACTTGTCTTCTGTTTTTAGCTCCACGGCAAGCTCGATAGTGCTGCTGTGTTCTCACTCTTTTAAGCATGATTGTCCTGAGAGGAAGACGCATCCACCTTATGATACTGCTCGGAAACAGGTAAGATTAACGTAGCTCTGCTGATAATCCTTTTCTATTGCCTTTATTCTTTCGCTTCCTTGTTATTTACAGAAATTGTAGAATGACTCTTCAGCTCAATGTAGCTCAATAGAGCGTAGCCTGCGAYCGCAGACGTATTTCCGGCTGTCACTTGGTTCCGCCGAAAAATAATGTCTGCGAACCCGAGCCAGGAAACGATTTCTGTGACGTAATGACTTTTGTTTCTCCTTGGCCAATCAGATTCCGTGATAGAATGAAACTCGAGTGCTCCTCGCAGCGAATACCTCGCGCAGAGTCGCGCAGTAGTTCTGGGGTTATTTGAGCTAAACTGTGATTGGCATAGAATTCCTACGTCACAGAAATCGTTTTCTGGCTCGGGTTCGCAGACGTTATTTTTCGGCGGAACCAAGTGACAGCCGGAAATACGTCTACGCTCGCAGGCTAAATAGAGCGTGGATATCTGTACTAGTTTCCATAATTTCGTTTTCAACATTATATATCTGTCCTCATTTTCTTTGTACTCTCCTCAGGACTCGTGGAAAAAGTGTCACAGATGGCAGCTTCCGGTGGCGTACTATTATCAGAGCACTTATCACTTCCGACTGGTTCTCTCGCCAAAAATCGGGAATGTCACGTGTCACACACTCTCACAACCAAATGGACCTCGATTTCAAGACTTTTATTTCCACTTTATACGCAAGTGTAACACATAGTTTAGATTTAGTTCATAGTTTTGCTGCTTCAGGGTATTGCTTTTACTATTTACATATTATTTTATAAACGCTGAGGTTTTAAGTTAATCCTAGGTATTTGTTATTTTGGCTGGTTTGGGTTCGCTTCTCGTATTAACTTCCTAACTCTATAAGTCGGTCATGTTTGGGCCCGTTTAGTGAACCATTATTTTCTAAGTCTAACGTAAGTCGTATAATTTTCATTAACGATTGAGGTTTTTATGCTGCGCAAGGTGACTTTAACTTTTAGTTCTCTGGATAAAGCCCTAGCGTGTGACCAATCAAATGAAAGGTATGGAGCAGTACTTTCATGTGGTACTGTTTATCTTGTTTTTTAATGACATTTTCACTTTAATTGTTTATGACATATAAAATGAACCCTGAGGAACGTATTCTTTTGATAACTTTACCCAGTTTAGAATTAATAGCGCACCATTCTTGATTACATTTCGGTAAATACTCTTTACTCGAGGAAAGACCCAGAACGAACTCCTCTGTAAGACAAATAGAAAACAGATAAAGATGATATTTTTGGATCGTCACGCGCTCTCTTATCCTTGCGTGACTATCATTTGCGTGACCATGTGGATATCACCTTGTGGATACCATGAAAGAGGCCAATCACATATTCAAGTATTTTATACATGAAGTGGTTTAATCCTGGATTTTTTTATCTATAGCACATCATATTTTTCATTCGTATTACAATATATCATAAAAGTTTAGTTAGACATTTTCGTATTAAACTTAACGAAATAGGAGCCGTTCTTAAAATTAAACAAACTGACAAGTTTAAACTGACGGTTTTTCTTGCGGTCAATCAAGCAATTGTGTGACGTTATCGGCAAGTGCCTATAATTTCAATTCGCTGCTGTAGATCATTCGTACGATGGCAAAGGACTGCCCTAGTGACAGCGGTTAAAGATACCACAATTCTAAAAACGGCCGTGCATATTTCTTTTGATTTTTAATGCAAGAAGCTCAGTTTCTCTCATTCTAATATTGGTGTGAGAAGTCTTGACAAGTTATGATGTAGAATAATTGTTTTTTACTGAACTGGTCTCAGTTCGATGTTTTAAAATTCTGCTGTTGTTTAATATACTTGTCAAACTGTCGATTAGAATTTTCAGGCATCGAAAGCGGACTATTCAATCACTGATGCATCACAATTTTCAGCAAAATTTCATCTACGTAGCTCTTTTTAATAATTAAATGAAATCGACAGGCAAATATTCTGTGTACATATATTGCCTCAGTGCATCAGAAAATTCGATTTGAATCTAGTAATATAGAAGAATTGTACAGAACAAATTTTACGAATAAATCACGAGTCGTTAATTTTTATACAAGACCTCCGGATTGATTACTGCTGCAGTGTTATTGTGTGGGCTGGGTAAGCTAGCAATTTGTCCCGCTAAAGGCGACAGGATAAAGAAGGATACGGTTGTAATCCTCCTAATCATTTAGGATGTCTCGACGGAAGATATTTTGCTTGTCAAATATGTTTGAATATATTGATTTGTTTTATTTCTTATGAAGGGATAATCTTACTTGCTTTCAAGAATAGTTCGAAATGGTTCAACTCTCCAAACGATAATGTGTAAATGAGAGTGAAATAAATTTTACAAGTCCACGGGCACACTTAAACCACATCACGTACAAAACATTTTAGGCTTGACAATCAAGAACAAAAATGTCTATCTTCGTCTTCCTTGTTACGAGAACGAGGAAATAACTGCTGCGGAAGCAAGATTTTTTGGCCTTTTTTGGCTTTGAAAATCTACTTCAGCAACAGTCTTGGAAACAAAATTTACTTCCGCAATAAGCTCGGAGACAAATGTTGCGTGCGTGCGTGCACCAACGGTGAAACATTCAAGGAAACGGCGTTGCTATAGCAATATTTTCTCGTTCAAAGGGACGTATATGCATTAGATCAGTAATTCTTTATATGCCTTACTTTCAGAAAGGTATAGGGCGAGAGAGAAAGAGAGCGAGAATCTTTAGAGTGGACTTGTCCCCAGTCATTTCCCAGAGGAAGTAGGACGGGGATAGTTATACCCGCGTCTAACGACTGGGGACGAGGGTTGTCCTTGTTATATTCAGACGTAGACGTGATTCCTTACCCCTCCCCACCCCTGACAGTACCACGGAAACGCTAAATCTTCCTAATTTGTACCCATCGTTGTACCCTTTGGCTGAGTATTACTTCATTGCTTTTTGTCTACCTTGGTAAATTATTCTTTTGAACTCCCTTCGATTTAAACTAATTTTCAACGACTGAAAGCACAGTGTCACGAAATTTAAAGTCATCAGTTTTCTCGGCGGTGTAAAAATAATCGTTTTTTAAAGGCATCGAAACAGTAAAGAAGCAATAATAAGGTAAAATAAACAAGACCGGCCACAAGTTAAGAGGATTAACAGGGATTATCATCGACAAACGTATTTGGTTTTAGCCATTACTTCAAATTAATTCGCCTTATTTGTAGACGATGACTTAGCAAAAACGATGGATGCAGCCGTTGGTTTTGAATTGAAGAGCAGTGGAACCTTTTAGAAAAGAATGCCTCGTCAGTTTACACTTGATGGCTTTTTGTAATTTTGTTGACAGGCTCTAAGTGAGAGCGAAACAACAGTTTAATCTTTCGCTCGTTGCTGGGAAGAAAAGTCGTGTTTGCTCAACAACAGTATTGTGTTACCTGTAACTGCTCAATATTCCTTGCTTCTTTTCATTCTAATGTTACTAGTGTAGCGCTGTAAAATGACACCTGGTCTTAAAATCTTTTTAAAGCACATAAACAAAAGATCAAATGCACTTTGACAAAAGGTTTCCTCTCACGACTCGCCTACACGAGATAACATACTATTTTTGGATTCTTTGGTTTACTGTTAAAACCTTTGCACAACTGAAAATTGACTATCAGGTATAAGTGCGGTTTTATACACAGTTACAATATAGCTCAACATGCGATATTGTATTTGAAATTAGTAGTCAAAGTTTTGTTTTTATACCATAGCTATACGAATCGAGAATGAGTTGCATGTTACTGCAATGTGAAAGATAAAACTGAAATACAAAGTGGGCGACAAGTGTCACTGAGTTTGCCATCCTAATGAGTTGAAACACGATGTTTCAAGTTTGATAAAGCAATAGTTTTGTCAGTGACGGTTGAATATTTAGCTATACCTCGTGGTTTGAGTGATATTGTGAATCTCATTATCGCAGCTGGTGTGTCTGGAAGCAGTCGGTGATATTCTACAAGGGGCTTCGCGTCATCAAGGAAATGCTTTTGACGCCTGACTGTACTTGTAAATGAAGTAATTAGTCCCCAAAACAGAACTTAAAGATTGAAATATCCGGATGTCAACACACTTTTTATCACTTGTTGAAACGAGTTGCATCGCACTGTAGTCTGTTGAATTTTGACATTCGCAGTTAGCCAGAGTTTCCGTGTTATTTTGTTTCAAAATTGCTTCCTTGTTTTGCTTTCGGTGTAGCGCCAGTGGAAGTCTGGATTGAACACGGAAGTCCAATCAGAGAAAATCGTGATCGCTTGAAGCTTATGCTCAGTTCAGTCTTAAAATCTATCTGGCCTGCACCCATTGGTTTTCTCTTGGCTTTGCTCGTCATAATGGCGTGTATTTTTCGTAAGCGGTTCTTCAGTTGTTTAAAGAGTAAGCAGAACAGCGTGGAATCTGGAACTTACAGACGAAATGGCGAATTCGACGGCAATCTTCCGCCAAGCGGCAGTAATTACGAGAACACACAACCTGATCAAGAATTCTCTGATGGACAGCAACAGGGTGAAATCCACGACTGGATGCTTCCAAGCGCCGTCAATATTATTTCTCCTGCCATAAATGGCACCTTAGCTCGTGGAGACATGAATCAGGGTACAACGAATGATCAAGAATCATTCCGTATGGAAGACCCTCCACCATCGTACAGCTCACTGTTTTACTGTCCACCGCCTAAATACGAAGACGTCGTGAGAGCTCAGTGAGTGTCAAACACAACAAACTACATCATTTGACCAGAAAGATTTCAGAGTTTTATATAACGATATGCACGTTAGATTATTTTAAGTACAGAATCTTTTTATTGCGTCAGAATGTATATATGAACAACTCTAAGCAGCTTATATTACGTGATTTTAATTTATTGAGGAAAAATTGCGATTACAAGACACAGTCGAGGAACGGAACATTGATGAAAAGACAGTCTGTGAAAGAACTGAACTGTGAAGTGATTAGCATTTCACGATGACGAGTCAAATATTTTTAAAATATTCAATATTGTACATGTGAAGAAGGCTTGATATTGTTCAAGTCAAGTGGTTCCCATGACACTTTAGAACACAATTGTGCAAACAGTTAATGATAAGCCATTTTAATATTAGAATGCTATTATCGAAAAATTTACTCCGAGGCTCGTAGCTTGGGAAATAAATTACAAACAAAATCACGCCGAGGCAAAAGACTGAATAGTTTTACTGATTTATTTTGTCCTGTTCGTAAAGACTTATGAGTTAAGTTAGGCATCCTGCAAGAGAATAGTCCTTTGAAATGTCCGGTAGAACGCAACGCGCGGGGAGCTCGAGACGTACGCGAAGCGTGAAGCGTGAAGCGACAAGAACCACTCGATGTCACGCGAGCTCTCAAGTGTTGACGTCATAAGCCTTACATAACCACAATGCTTTCCTGTAGGATTAATACTGTTTTAGGATCAGCGATCTGGCGTCTTTTGCCTCCTGGTTGAGGAATTCAAAAACCTAACAAAATTAGCATTTAAAGGTTGATTTAGATTGCTAGATCGTTGTTGTGTCCAAGGACTTTCAGCGACAACGATCTAAACGAAATACCATTTATTTGGTGGATAAAATTAGTTGTGTCACATTTAATAGGAATACTAATACTAATACTTAAAATACTAATAATACTAATAATACCTTTTTTTGTAACAAAAATTTTATTTACAAATCATCAAATAGTTACAAAGCAATAAAATATTGAAAACATTATTAAGTTACGAGCTATAATAAGAAGACTGTATTGATCCTTTGTTATAAATGACATCAGATGAAAAACAAAATAATGGCTCAGCTTCCAGAAAATGAGACAAAAAAATTAACCTAATGAAAAACTTGCTTTGTAAGTAGTCTAAACATCGTATTAAGCATAAATAATGTCAACTACAAAAATGACAAACACTTCTTGGCTCAGTATTCCTGTCTTTGGCTAGAGTTCCCCAGAAGTAGCGTTCTCAATGCCTTAACGAATATTTGCATGTCCTTTTTCAATATCTAAGTCAAAATCCGACAGTTGTAAGTGGACTCTCCTAGAAGCTCGCGAGCCAAGCAAAGTAATGCTGATCTCAGCTGCGCAAAAGACGCTCTTGCTCTGATCCATGACATGGTTCTTTATAGCAACTAACTCAGCAAGTCTACTATGGTATCGATTACATTCCACAGCCATTCCACCTGTCGAGCTGAAAACTAATAATACTAATAATGCTAATAATACTAATAATACTAATAATGCTAATAATGCTAATAATACTAATAATACTAATAATACTAATAATGCTAATAATACTAATAATGCTAATAACGCTAATAATACTAATAATGCTAATAATCCTAAGAATACTAATAATACTAATAATGCTAATAATACCAATAATACTAATAATACTAATAATGCTAATAATGCTAATAATACTAATAATACTAATAATATTAATAATACTAATAATGCTAATAATGCTAATAATTCTTATAATACTAATAATACTAATAATGCTAATAATACTAATAATACTAATTATACTAATAATACTAATAAAACTAATAATACTAGTAATGGCAATAATGCTAATTGCTAATAAAACGTCTTCTTTTCCCGATGTACTTGAAATGTGGGCCTTTGCCGTCTTTTTTGTCATAGGTTCGTGGATTCTGTCATTTTCATTCGCTCTGAAAACTTAAAAACTAGACGCTCTAAGAGCGTTTACTCGGGCTTCGTACCGCAATATCAAATCATACTTTACACGTAAGCTTATTGAACACAATAAAAGCAAGTAACAGTATCAGGATATTTTAACACAAGAATTACGCTTAGATATTTACCATTCAAATTGCTTCGTTGAGTATCCTCTTTATCCAATTGCATGTTAATTGACTCATCTTCGAAGTTCTGTTTACGACGATTATTGATTTTTTCCAACATCTGAAGTGTTCGTTTTAGCATCATAGTTTGTTTTTAAGTCAGTAGTCATAGATTTTTTGTCAGTGTTTTCGTAGTTTGAACTCGTACATGGCTCATTTGTTTGCTCGCGAGAACGAGCATAAACTTTGTTTATTCAGGCAGACTTTCAAGCAATATAATTCGTGGACCGATCTGCTCCGAAAACGATCGACATCTTTGTTTGTGAGATGAACTTATAAGGCGTGATTCTTTCCAAAACGTTCTTCACAAAACACTGCATCCTGTATATTTCGTCGTTCACGAAGAGCAATCACACGATGAAGCAAGCTGTCGTATTCTCACCTGCAGTTTCCACTCTCTACGCTAGGAACGCCTGGAACCATGACCCCCTTCTGACGACCAAGACCTAGAAACGGCCTTGCATTTTATGACTCGGGCTTCCGCGTAAAAATCACTACATTAAGTTCCTGTGGCACCATTGTATCTTGTTTTATTGCTGATATAGTCGTACGCTAGCGCATTTTTTCAACACGCCTTATTTCGAAAACGAGTCCGGTGACCCCCACTTTTTTCACTTTTTGACCGGTCGATCTTTGCTTTACTACATAGGAAGTTTTAGCATGTTCCAAAATGTCTGTACGTGGGAACATTCTATACATTTGGGCGCGGACTTCCTTAAACGTTCTACACTGAGAAGTTGACACTTAAAAGCTCTTTGTGCTGTTGCGAGCTTCTGTCAAAACAGGGCTTTTTGCATCTTAATTTGCATGAGTGGTTATAATTGAGACTGTGCATCATTAACACTCTCATCGCTGAGTCACATTGAATAGTATAGTTTTATTTTGTCTGTTAGTTTGAATATTTAACGGCCAAGCACTCTGCGCAATATTTTACAATTCTCGAAATGTTTCAAAACTTGGAAAATGTGTAACAAATATGCGATTTACTGATTTATAACTAGTTAATAACTAAGTTCCATTTGTACGGGATAATTGCTATGTGTTTTGGTTTTTTTGAAAACTACAATTGATTAGGACGTTCCGCGGTCTCTTTCTGTGAAGTGACGAAATGACAGGATATTTTTCGAGTTAACGTCATCCGGTTTGGTTTGGATCCAATTCATTTCAGATTAAAATTTTATAGTTTTTCATCTAAATTGCTTCGGCCAGTTAATGACTTTTTTTGAAATGCTTAGCTTCAAAGGGCTTTTAGCTGTTTGTTCCGTGTGAATAAAAGCCATAAATTTCTATTCTCTTGTTTGCTCTTGTCTGGCCCAGTAAGGATGCATTGATAGCATAAATAAGGGAAGCCGAAAGGATAAGGACACCTGCAGTGTACATGTTGAGTTGCCCTATAGCAACAGTCATTGCTTTGCATACAAATGACAGGTGAGTCTTAAAATATTCCTATTCGAATACTTTAGAAACACCAAAGCAGTAATAATCTACCGCTGTCAAAAATTCTGTTTGCAAAACAGAAAACTGAACTCCGCCATCTCTCAGAGTATGATTCAAGAAAGAATTACAAGGTATGCTACTCTAAGTGTTGTTTTAAAACATTTTACATCAAGTGAAATAACGTTGCGCTCCTGTTCTACTCGTAAAGCTCCGATTACTCGCGAATGATTATCTCCACAATGCAAGAATTCTTATATAGCAGAAATGCTAGTTCTAATCCATCTTGTTTTAATGTATCGAGTGTCGAATGGCGACCAAAAATTCTAACTTCTTGCGTTCCACTCAATTCGTCGTCGGTATTCACGTCTTGGTAAAATTAACAATACGTTTTTGTAAAGTTTGCCTGACGGAATACCAAGTGATCGTGTTCAGTGAGTCAACCGTTGGAACAAAACCTTCAAACGAATACGGTCATTCTTTGATGTACATAAGCTGAAGTAGTATGAATATGAACAATGAAGGTGTTTCCTCCGCTTTTTGCAAATGTCGTTCAAATCCTCTTTTCTTTTTTTTTTTTGAACAAAAGAAAACACACAAAACAACAGGCTTTTTAATTTTTCAACTTTCAACGTACATGACACATTAAAATTCAAATCGTTGCAATTTAAATTCTATCACAGACAATTTTTAATTATTTGAATATCACCATCACAGGTAAGATAAATACTACAAAATATTGACCGGGCCTTCGATCTTGTTGTATATTGCACAAATAAAAAGTACAAATAAAAGTGAAGCCATCTTCATTCGTTTCAATGAAATATTTTACACCTGGACACAAACATTTTCAAACATCGACAAACTGTTTTATTTCTCAATGGATATTTCCAGATCAACCTTTAAATTCAACTACGAAATTCTAATACACCTTCTGGACAGTGATTAAATGAATGTTAAATGTTAATCCTAGAGAACTGGTTGGAAAAGAGAGTATAATTTTTCCCAGTTAATGGCTTTTTAAAATTGCTTTCACTTTCTGACTACACAGTTTTTTGATGTTGTATCGGGCAAAATGCTTAGACCGTGTTTTCTCATTGGGCTTATAAAGACGAAAAGAGTGTATGATTCTAGTGATTCCTTTCATCCAAAGACCTTTCTTGCCGAATCTCGAGCTTTGGGGAAAAATTGCCCCAGTTTGTTTTCCCATCGTGTTGACAACAATAACTCACCTACAAGCAAGTTTCTGTTTTGCTTACCACACGCGTACAGTTCCCGTGATTTCGAAATCAACACACTGTTTGTTAATGAATCAAGCTATTTTCTGTAATAGTCTCACACACTGGGTACCTCCCATAGCTTTAACATCACAGCTGTGCCAATATTTTCCTGCAGGATCATCTTGTTTTGTTTTAGGCACCAAATATTTTTCGAGCGTTCATAATACTACTGGCTTGTAAACAACAGTCCTGAGAAACATATTGTCCAGAAGATAAGGTTTATCAATGAAACCCCCTAAGCTTAAAAGAAACAAAGAAAGCTTTAAAAAATAGGATAAAGGTTCCCGATTATTCGAGAATATTGTGTAACACAGTGACGGCCGTCGCTTGTAACACCTGAATCTACTTGTTGACTTTGACCAGAGAAGAAAACCTTGAATTTTAAGATCGTGTTAACGAGCGTAGTTGTGTGTGACAATTGTATCTTGTAAATTTTCGTTTCACAGGAATTGTCGTCTTTGTTCTGGTATTGAGAATACAGGAACTGATCGTTGACAGGAGATAGCCAAAATAAGATCAAATTCTCTCAAATGATATTCCAAGATATAAATTACTGAATGTGTGCTTACATTACGGTCCGTAATTTTTCACAAGCCAATAATATGTTGTCAGTATTGTTTCCACAACTATATTTTATTTTCTATCTTATAGCTCAGTAGATTTCTTCATTATCATTCAACTGAGGGGATAGGGGAGGGGCACATCAGCCTAGTCCCTAGGCGTTCTCTGGCTCTCGAGTGCGAAGAACATGTAAGGGCCTGGGACAAGTTAATTGGCAATGTCTTGCAATTTAGTGAAACGCGCAAGTAGAGAATTGTATTATCATATCAGGCTTTTTAAACTTTTCTCCAGTTAGCAACAATTTTCACAGTTTTTTTTTCAATTCAAAAAAAAACAACAACTCACAAACAACTATTTTGCATCTCAAACAAACATTACACCTGCACGGGGACACACTGCAAATAAACAAACTGCGATGAAACAAACATTGAAAGTCACTCAGGTCCTACATAATACGTTACACATAGGAATCTATGACAGCTTATAATTATATTGTTTTAAGCAAAGCACGTTGTGGTTAAATGTATATAATTTAAACGTTTCGAGTACAAAAAACACCGGAAAGCAACGACATTCATGTTCAAAAGGGTTAAGGCGGGCTTGAATTCTTGAAAATTGGTAGGAACGGTATTACAATAAAAGAAAGTTCGTTTTTTAACTTCCTGTCGCCTTAACGCTTTCAATTAAGATCTCTTTTAATAACACAGCAGCTGTAGATGATAAGTTTTGACAGTTATCTGCCTGGTAATGTACCAATACTGTCATTAGTTGGAAATAAATAGCTGATCTCTGTTGTAGATAATTTTGATGGAAGAAGAATTGGATTGAGAAATGCATCGTTAATATGAGAAGCCTTCGTTGTCACCTGCTTAGAGGATAAAATTACCGCTTATTTTTATCCCACGTACAGCTGTATTAACTAATTGTATTTCATCACGTCTCAGCGCGGTGTGAAGCCCATGTTGCTAATTGCGCACGTTTGTTCTCTTTTAGAAATATTTTGCCCAGTGAGAACTCTCACCGTTTGAATTAAACCTTGTTTTGGCGAGAGATGCTCAAATATTATCCCGTTCACGGCCATGCCTTTTATTAGACGAAAGCGCTTGTGGAGTAAAGGCAAGGAGGGTGTTTATGTTGTGAGCGCGAATGTACATGATCTATCTTCGGGAAAAGAGGAATCAAAGACGCGCAAACGATCTTACGACTCAGACACAAAGACCAGCATCAGCTCTAGGGGCAGTATAGCGTCACCTGACATAGATGACGACTCCAAACAACATCACCATTCCAGAAACAGCTCGCTTGGTAATGAATACGGCTCGTTAGACTCACTAGAGGACGCACAAGTCTGGGACTCAATCTCGATGGACCAGAAAGCAGTGCGACTCCTTTCTACTCACAGAAGACAGTCGGTGGATCCAAAACAGATTCAAGTCGAAGTGCATCAATACGACACAGCAGCGAGCCCTGAAAGACGCGGCGAGGAGGAAGATCCACACGTGGATCCCATGGACGAGGAAACACTCGCTCATGTACATAACGTTGTGGCATCCATCTTGGAAAGATACAAACAAGACGGCAGTGATTCGGACAGTTCGACTGCTGTTTCCGAAAATTCTGAGTTAGATTTTAATGTTTCTTCCGATGAGGAATCGGAACTCAATGAGGAGAAGGGAGAAGTGTTTGATTTTGATGCGCACATTAAAAAAATCTGCAAACGCGACGACGGAAGCGACAGCGAGTCCGATGGAAATGAGAGCGTCACATCTGAAAAAGCCTACAAAACTGCCGTACGAAAAGCCATGAAAAAAATCAAGCGGGAGCGTTTGGATGAACTAACCGAGTCGGACAAAGAATCCGAGAAAGGTTCGGAAAACGAACGATCTCCGAAAAGCGACGACAATTCTTCCTCGGAATCCAGCGACCAAGATGGCGACGAGAGTGACTCGTCTTCGGGAGAAAACGAGAAAAACAGCTTTGAAATGGCTCGAGATGTTGATCCCGAAATTCAAGAACTAATGGCCGACGGATTGGTTATTGATCCGAAAAAGGGCAAGAGTGATGCAGGTGAATCTCGAACCGTTTACAGATATTACATGAACAACGAAGGCAGGATCGATTCTGTGTCGGAGACAGCAGATAATCTGTCCGAAGAAGACGAAGGCCCTTCTACTGTGAATACGCAAGAGAATACTCTGGCGTCAACTTTAGAAGATAGTAAAGCGCAAGAACTTCGTTGGCCATTTTCCAATTTTTACGTCAAGGAAATTAACCAAGAAGCGACTTTTTCAGAGAACTGTGACGCGCTTCCATCCTACAGGTCGACTTTGGCCTCCGCATCGCATCCTGGTCGAAAAAGAAACGTAATGTTGGGACGAATTTGGTGGGTGGAGTGGTGGGCCAGAGAAGACACAAAGACAAAATCAAGCACAATGAACACATCAACAACCTCATTATGAATGATATCATAGTATGAAAGACTTAAGGCGCCACATAGACATATCGCCAAAATAAAAAAGGAGGGAAATGAAACAACATTTGTCAGTTCAAGCCAAATAACTTTTTCATACAATTTACCAAAAAAGGTAAAACATTGGCTTCTGACATGCTAACTGACATGTTAACTGACATGCCGATTGACGCGTGACACTCAAAATTTGTTCAACGTTTAGTGTTGAAATAACTAGTCTTTTCGTTGTAACAACAAATTCTAAAAGTTTGCTTAAGATGAATATTTCGTTTAAGCTAAAAACAAACACAGCATTCATTAATTAGCAGTATAAAACCGCTGAAACTCAGTTCATAAGCCTTGATATGTCATGGGTATCAAGATAATTTTTCTATTTAAAAAAATGGATATGCATTTGGAAACTTCTCAAGATAGTAGCAAAATAACGCAATACAGAATAACACACAGAAACGCGACGCCATATAAACGAGAGAATGTAATGTAACACAACACAGCGTGACCTCAGACGACATTCCTTTTTAACGAATAAAACTGTGGTTTGAAAAAGGGCGACACCGTTTATAACGAAACACAATGTAAAACACAATGGCGGTGCTCCGTTAAACGTATGTTAAACAGAATGTAAGACAACAAATTGTGACTAATTTTGAAATAGCGTAACGCAACATAAAGTGACCTAACCTCAACACAACTTAGCCCAGGATAACTAGCAAAAATTGAGAACATTTGAAATCTATATTGCTTACTTTATTGATTAGCAAAATCTAAGATTTTTTGGTTGTTCGATTGTTGTGATATTGGTTATAGGAATAGGTTTCATAAAATAAATGTAATAACAACTTGGTAAACTGAGTAACTACTCTCACTTCTAGTACTAAACGCTAGATGTGCCTTTCATATCTGTGTGAATCCCAAACTAGAGCTCCGTTTTTAGAAGTACACTTAACTTTTGATTTAAGTCCACTTTGCAACTTGTTACTGATACTGTTTGTATGTTTTACCCACACTGAAGATAAGAAAGAGACAATTTCAACAAAATCAAACTCTCGCAACACACTTCCATATATCTACATACTGTAGAAATTAAAACCTCTACACATGTTTACTTTTAATTCTGAGTTAGTGCTAGTAGACTTTGGAACAACTGGGTACAGATTGTTAAATGTTTATTGCTTTTGCGATGTGCCTGTATGACGTCACAACTCCTTGTGAGGTTCCCTGTCAATCAAAGCATACTTAAAACAAAATATTCTCGTGATGAAATAGCTGCTACACTATTTGTCGTGTTATAAAAGGTTTAGCAAAAGAAACGAAAGAGAAAGAAATGTCAAAGTTTAAAGTCCTCTTTGTCGCTGTGACTTATATGGTCAAATGAGGTTTTCTGTATAATGAAATGTGTCAATTGTGTGAGAATTTTCTCCACGTTCTACAATTAGAAATATCTGCACCTCTTATATGCATCACAAAACTGTAAAATCCACCAATAGTAAAATTATTCCGGCTTCTAGAAAGATATCACTGACGTGATTAGGTATAGGGGGACTTGAGCTTTCGTGCTTTATTTTTATTGCAGGTCTGTATTGAGAGCCGTTAGTACTGGCTTGCTCGACCTGGTTTTATTATAACCGCAAAGAAACATGGATTGCATGTCAAGTTCCTTAGAAATATACTCGAAAATGTTGTCAAAGTAGTCATACCCTTAAGGTTGGCATGCATGTCCTTGAAAATGCTATTTTGGTACAGCAAATAGTCAAATATATGGCCATTAGGAGCAAAGTGAGAGTATGGTTAAGAGAGCGAAGGTTTATAACTGAGTCGAATATCAACCGGTTAATAACTTGGAATATAACACTTCACAACAGCGTGGGTGTGTTGTTGATGGTTTGTTAATTATAAATATCGCTGATACAAGGGAGTATTTGCTTCTGCAATGATGATTTGGCTTAAACCACAACATCTAAGCAACCATTGCTTTGTCTTTGGTTCGGACTTCTTGGGGCCACTCAATTGAAACCGTTTTTATCTACTAAAGTTCTTCAAAAAAGATAAAAACAAAAGCACTTCCTTTCTCAATATCTCAGTCACGCCATTAAAAGCACTCTTCCGTCAAAACAAACTGAAACGTGTTTCTAATACATACAAAAACACAAAGTTTTTGCCGAGTGACGCATTCCAGAATTAACCTCAACAAACACGTGTGCAATATCTGTTACAGATGTTCCATTCAGAAGGCGGTATGAATATTTGTTCAGACGCAACCTTAAGAGCCCTGCTTGGCGACCGGCGCTAGAACTTTCATTGTAATAACATGAAGGTTCCGGGCGTTGCGCCCAAAATGAATTTTTGGCCCGTCTTGTAATCACGGCTGTTATCTAAATAGGAAAGGCGAAAAAAGAAACGCGCGGTGTAAAACTAGTTTACTCGGACCAGGAGCCAGTCTGTCACGACAGAAGCTAAGAAAATGAAGTCTGTTGGTTTCACTGTCAATGCTTCACCTCTGCTCCCTATTCATAACATTCCAATCTGTATAGCTGACTCCAATTAACGGCAGAGCGCTAGACACATTCCTGCTGAAAGAGATGAAAATGGCGGCATTCAAACATATCTGATTCTAGCCTAAGAACATCAATCTCCAAGTTTTTGGGGGACTTTTTCAAGCAGCAGTGGAACCCCGCCTACAGCCACTCGTTAATATTAATACCCCAACTTTATTCTGGCCCAGACAAAAGCTCAGTTAGTCATTCTCTTATCTAAATTAAAGAGCCGTTCTGACACGGCCACCCCGTTAATAAGGCCAGATTTTTTTTAGCCCGTTGTTGACCGGATTAACGAGGTTCCACTGAAATTCCAATAAAACTATATCAGCTCTGTAGTTAACCACAATTTGAGGTGTTGTCAGTTGTCAGCAGTTAGTTTTTAATGGACCTCCAGTATTACACAGTTTTTAGAGATAGTTTTGTGGGCGCCTTGCAGACGGGGTCAGGGGAGTTGTGAAGTTGAGTGGGATTCGAAAAAAAACGTGTTTCTCCATTGTTTAAGGTCAAGGGCTATCCATTAAACGCTTTTATCAATTTCGCGGCCTTGAGGAAAACATTTGTTTCGCAGATCGATCGAAGCAGTACAATATATTCTCAAGTACTTTCGCCTGAAAAGAACAAAGAGGTCAGCGATAAACAGGATCCCACCCTCTTAATTTAAAGAGATTTTCCGGCCGTTGTGAACGATAGGAAAAAACGACTCACGCTTGTGACGTCGTGACAACCGGAAGTTGTCAATCCGGCTGATGATTTATAGTGGGGTAAGGTATGTTATGAAGTCATTACAAATAAACAGGAGATACAGAAAGGTACTTCATCCCTTCAGATAACGAAACCACCGAACGGGAGCAACTTTGTCTCCGGGACGACATCGTGATTTTGTCGGTTGACAAGATGGAGCTTAGCCGAAAACTGACGGATTTTGCGTTGATAAGCGTGGCGATGCTTTTTGTTTCGTTCGCGAGAGTGTCATCGCAGTGCAGCAGTGAACAAGTGAAAACGTGCCCCAACGGACTTTGCGACGATGAAACCGAGTGTCAAGGCTCGAGTTCTTCAGCCAGTGGTGTGGAGGCGATAGTGGCTATCATGAGCGTCTCTGTAGTCTTAATTCTTGGTTTAGTTATTCTCTTGGTTTATATTTGCCTTAAACAGGGGCCTTGGTCACATACCGGCGAAGCAACTGATTCGAATGAGAACACTTGCGAAAGAAGTTCTGTGGAAATTCCAGAATATATTATGCGGCGGCGATTTTCATCGCTAAGCATGGTGTCTGGACCTCCGCCATATTTCAGTCTTTTCAGGTTTATTTTGAACGAGAATGGAGAGATAACAAGCACGGTTATCGGAGAGAACTCAGTCAGAACTGAAAACACACGCCTTCCTAGTGTCGCCGACCAACCACCTGACTACGGCGTACTGTTCGCACAATCTCCACCGCCTTATGATCATGTTATACAGAGTGAACAATTGACTGTAATTACAACTAATGCCAGCACCATCTCTGAATGTTAAAAGACGTTCTTGGTCTTCACTGTAGTGAAGCGGCTAAATGAATTCAGGACCGCGAAACTTGTCCATAACGCCAGAATGATCGCGAAGCCTTGTCGGCCTCCGTGAGTGTGGGTATCACTTGAAATCACCGATGTTATTTGAAATCAAGAAGGGACCATTGATAATAAAAGATGAAATGATTTAAGACGAATAGTACTATAGATTCCCACTTATGATGTCAGAACCAGGCTATCAAATACCTCGACACTGACTGTGGAATGTAAAAATTCAAGCAACCGCGCGTTGCTATGTAAAGTAGTCAACCATGGCCAAGAGATAATTTAATGCTCAGATTTTACTCTTCAATTTTACCTTTAACTTACTCTAAGCGATTTTACTTTTTAAAGCTAGACTATTGTAGAAAACCGCGTCAAACTTCTCTAGTTACGTTGCGAGGATCAGGATAATATCACGACGGTCTTTTTATCATGCCTATACCGAGCGCGTCAAAGAAACTTCGAGAGAACGAAAGTCGGCGAATGGGCACAGCGTAAAATGGGATATTAAGGTGATGTACACTTGTTGTCGTGTTATAAGAACTGGTCAAGGGCTGTAAAAAGCTGCGTTATTTGGCAGAATCTGCACATTAAGCATTTGTTTATTGCTCGCGTCAGTTTGGGGGATCCGGAAAAGGCGAGTCCGGAAAATCGACCCACAGGGTGGAAGTCAAAAGCCACGAAAAATAGATTACGTTTACTTTCTTTTGTAAGAGAAGAAATAATTCTCAAAATAGATCATAGAGTATTATGCTTCTATTATCTTTTTGTATTTTAGTTTTCGATTTCGTATCTAAATGGACAATAATTGTTGTATTATATTTGTTTCTAATGGATTAAGTGAAATGACTCTGTTAGTATTTATTAGTTTATTTTTGAGCTAATGCTCTTTGTTCATACCCAAGGTTATTATGATATTTAATTCTTTATTTATTGCGTTCAATAAAGCAATATCTGATATTGCGATTGTTTGAGTGAAAGGGTAATTTGTATGATTGATGCCTTCAGAATTAAACAATGGAAACTTAATTCACATCAAAAAAGATTCAAAAAGCGTGTTACGCATCTCGGCAGAAAAATTTAGCCCACAGATTTCTAGTTCGTCATTAATTACCATATACGTCTTAATCCTCACCAATCTTGACCTTAGTTGTTTCTTTTCAGTTTATTATTACGCCTTTGGTACGCCTTTTATCATTTCTAAAATTTGGTACCACGTAAAACCTGACGCACTACATGGTGACATGGCTGTTGGTGGTAATTCGTTTCAACATGACGCAAAATTCACGCTTCCTGTTCAAGCTTTTATTTTTTTTAACTTGGCTTTAATTACATATGCTCAGTCTGATTGTGCGAACGGATCGACTTTGATATAATTCAGGAAATTTTAGTGAAAAAAAAAAGATTAATTTTAAACTTGCCGGCTGACTCGGAATAATAATAATAGTAATAATAATAATAATAATAATAATAATAATAATAATAATAATAATAATAATAACTTTATTTGAGTGTCTAGTCTGCATACTGCATACCTTGTTTATACCACTTAGGTGTAGCCTGAATTCTTTTCTTGATGCAAAAAATATATTTATTTACATCTCTTGCTAATACTGTAGAATATGTCTCGAAAAATTGACGAATAATATCTTATGCGTTGCATGACGTCACAAGGACGCATGACGATGACGATAAAAATTGCCGACCAATCACAGCGCTCACGGGATAGTTTTGTAACGTGTTTATAGTTTTCTATGACCAGACAGTTTTCCATATAGTCATAACTATTTTAAAATTAATATGCTGACTCTTACCTCTTAATATAATCGACCTTTTGAACCCAGACGAAAATAATCTTTGAGCGTAGGAAAGAAAAAAGTAAAAAATTGCATTTGGAGGGGAGAGTAAGGCGGCGGAAGAGGAAAGGGCGGGAAAAGGGCGGGAAAAGGGCGAGGCGAAAACGAGACACCCTGGGAACGAGGTAGGAGAAAAAAGCAAAGATTCATCGCAAATTGGTCAACTTTCTTGTTACTGAAATTATTATACTTATTTTTTTTCTATCATTGTTGAAAAACATCATAGACCTCGTCATTCGCGCAATGTTGCATTAGTAATTTCTTTTTGGAAAGCCGAGGTTGAAAAAGCCTTTCTGATCGAGGGTAAATAAAAATTAAAACATGTTACGTTTTTAACGTTTTGTTCAAACAGACCTTTCTAGAGCAGTAGATATAATTCGAGCGTCAGGAGCTCTCATCTAGCGCCTATCCTGCGTCAGCCCAGAGCTCGAAGGACTTGCGGCCTCCGTAAATAAATAAATACAAAAATAAATAAATAAATAAATAAATAAATAAATAAATAAATAAATAAATAAAGTAAATTATCGCTTCTTATCATTCAGTTGTGACGTTGAAACCAAACTTGTTCTTGTAATGTCGATTACAAAATCTTCAGAGACAAAAGTGGACAAAGTTTCAGACAATCGAGAAAGATGTTTATCAGAAAGTGACGCAAACTACTCGGAAAAATAATACTAATCTACTGTTTTATTCGTAAAAATGTCACCTTGTCTATTTATATAAATATACAGTTACTGTGGTTACTTATTTGACACGCGAACAGTTTTGAACAGTAACATTAACATTTACATATTTATTAGATAGCTGTCTTATTGACCGTCTCTTTTCTTGTTGATATTATTCAGTAAATAAGTTTCAGTCATTTCAGGTCTAATTTAGTTTGGGCTAAAACTGAGTTCTAACCTAGTACTGCACAGACTCCCAAGTTCAGTTCGCCAGCTCTGAAGCATCTCAACGTAGTACGTAATAGACAATAGGGAAAACAGAATTCAGAGTTTGCCGTAAATGGAAAAAAGGCTGTTGTTATTGCTTTGATACGTGCTGTAGCGGTGCCTTTTATTCTCATGTAAATGAGGATTTATTAGAGTTAAGCCAACGGGAGTTAAGCGGACTTTATCGCCTCGCTGGTCAACAATAAAAACAAGAACATCCAAGTGGAACAAATGAAGAGGAAATATGTTAAGGCTGAAGTGACTAAGCAGAAACGTAAAGTAACGAGCTGCACGAAAGAGTTTGAAAAGTTTCGCGAGATACTTCACGAAAGCTTTCAAAGATGTCGCTGAATTTCGTGCTGTTCCTAACAATTTCGTTTCGGGTCGTCGCTATCTCTCTGTCTTGTCAACCGCCGCAGAACTGTGAGAATACAACAAGCAGTAACAGTACTCCAGTTGTGAACTGTGGTATGTCGAACGTTTCTTGTGGTTCGGGAAAGGTTTGTCGAGGTGGTGCTTGCATTGACGCGGAATCAGACACACCGGACGAAGGCGACGACCAGTTTCCGTCGATGGGGTTGCCATACAAAACAGAGAGCGYAACTTTGACWACTTTAAGCCCTACAACAGCAAACAAGCACGAGAAAGGGACCGAATCTTCTCACAGTTTGATTTCGGGTAATGAGGAATTCGCAATCGCACTTGTAGGCTTTTCAATACTCTTCATTAACTTCTGCTTGATTTCGTTCTGCATGGCGCGAATGAAACGAAGAAGACTTCAGCAGCAGCAGCGCAACCAGCGCTCGGCAGCAACACAAAGCTCACAAACCGGAGACGATTGGAATGCCAGTAACATCATCAGGAGCAGGGGAATTGAGAATTTTGCACTGAACGGAGACCTCGACGGGTTCGGCAGTGAGTTTATGTATTCACCCGTGCATCTGCCGCCATATGACTTCTCCTCAGCTTACCACAAGCCCCGGCCTAGACTGGAAGACTCAGAAGAGGACGGAGTAGAGGGAGAGAGTAGCGAGAGTAGCGAGGCTGCTATCGATACTCAGAGTATACCGGTGAATGAAGACCCCCCTCCATACAGCGACCAAAGGTATGAAGGCTTGCGGAGCCCACCAAGCTATGACGAGGCATTGAAGGGACTAGCGATAAATGTGGAGGAATGTACGTCTGGATTATGATGTTCACAACAGTCAACTGTCAGTTATTTGGATGAGCAGCTACGAAAGTCAAGTAAAAAAGAAAAGGAGCGATGGAGACTTCGTGTTCCAGTGCACGTGCTGTCAAATACAACAGCTGAACTGACAGATGACCAACTACCATCGAGGATAAAGAACTATATCCAATTAAAATTCTTTCCCGGTCCATTATTGAGTCAATAAGACTCCTAGAGTACATATATTTGCTTTCAATTGAGAACGTGGATAAACCCCTTAAATCGCTTGCTTCGAACTAGTTTAGAGCTTTTTTTCTAGAAAGATGTTAATTTAAATTATATTATGTGTCAAGAGGACAGCTATGCTGTTGAAATGAAAGGTGTACATAGGGCTGGATGCATCACATTTCAATCAAACGTGAGCACCTATGTGTTTCTGAGGTCCTACTGAATAAGATTCGGTCGCTAGTCTTCACAAGAAAGTTATGTCACTGCCTACTGTTCTAGATTCAGTTTTGTGATATGATAGTTTTGACAGTGAGAAACAAACTAAATGACTTTATTTGGAGTACCACGAGATTCTTAGGCAAAGTACAAATTCATTTTTTTTTAATCGACGTTGTCCTCGACGTCGCCGTCGTGGTTACTTAAGATCATTTCCCGGTTACGTATCTGCCTCCTGTTCGAAGGGCAATGACTTCCATCATGGCAGTCGGCCTCAGCCAGGAAATCAGTTTTGCGTTTTCCTAGCACGGCCGATAGAGAAATAATACGATATGATTGATCAGTGCTAGACTTCTGACATGTGTTTCTAACGGTCATAAATGGGACCGTTTGTTCATGTGATAGTAAATGTTTATAATTTTCGGCAAAAATTCGGTCGCTAGTCTTCATTAACAGTTACGTAATACACTACGCGTAGTCGATGTTTCTTTACGATCACGCTCGACGGACTTAGCGGAAGAGGGACTACTCGTGGTCTAGTTACGTAACTGCCAAATGTTCGAAGAGCAATGACTTCAATCACAGCGGACTCGGCGACGAAATCATTTTTACCTTTTCCTAGTGAGCCGACAAAGAAATAATATGATTGATCAGTCCTAGANTTCTCTCTTCCTCACTCTTGGCATTATTGCTTCCCATTTTCTTGAAAAAATAAACCCGCGAAGTTCAAAAAGCAGCGTACATAATACGTATATAAACACATATGCCAGCTGCTGTAAAATCTTATCTTGTTTTTCAGTTATACTGATTTGATGTTGGAAATTAATAGCACTAATAAGAATAATTGAAACGGAAAAGCCCTAAGGGCGTAGACAGAACCAGGCGTCAGTGCGCTTCCACTATTGTGAAAGTTGCTATTATCGGCACGTTCCTTTCCTTTAATTACCAAACGTGAGACAACAAATTTTTGTATTGTAAACAATCTACTGTACTTAAGGTTGCGGGAAAGATAAACTTACGTTTTCGCTGTCGAAGAAACGAAACGAACCATCTTGAATTTGAAATGACCTCGGCGCAGATTCAGCTGTCAGATATTATTCAAACATCAAGCCAGAAAAATGATGCCAAATACCGAAGCAAAATATAACATTTTGCCGCAGCCTCAATTAGCAAAGGTCTCTTTCTGAAATTAACGGGAAGATTCTATGATAAAATACTTAAAAGTTCAATGAAGTGTTAAGTTTCTAAGGTTTAAAGTCGCCTTGGATGTTACTGAGGTCCAATACACTCACATAAGGGAAACCAATCAAAAGCTTTCATTGTTTGTATGTTGTTTATACACCACCAAATTAAAACCCTTTGAAACGCATTCACTTGTTTAATGTCAACAAATTGTCTGCACACCGCTTAAAAGTTAACCATTTAGTTGACAGCGTTAATGTTATGCGGCGCCACAGAGCGAGATTAGCAGAAAATCTGAAATAGTCGGCAAAATTGAATGTGATTTTAATGTGCTTGACTTGCCAATCACCCGTCCAGAGGTCCTGATGTACCGATACGCTGACGAAAAAGGACCGGTGTATTAAGTTCATTACTCGGCTAATCAAGATGATATGTCAAGGACACAGCGAATCGCAATCATAAAGCGAGAATCCAGAGCTTTTATTTCGGTCTAATGATAGTTAAATTTCTTGAGGTGTAAAATGGATGGACATGTTATTGAAGTGAAATGGAAACGTTTTGTGAAGTGGATGTATGTTGTGACGTTAAATTCATGGACAATTCCAACAGTTTTCTGCGAAAATGCGACTACTCAAGCCGTTTGTGACTCCTGTGATCTTGCTCAAAGGCACAAGCTTTATAACTGGTTAGTTCTTTGCATCGTACTGCTGTTGCTGGTTCTTCTGCTCCTGTTAGTCGCATTTCTCTGCCACAGAATGTGGCCAAGGAATTCTTTGGTTCTCGAGAGAGCTGTCGGTAGGTATAATCTAGAAGAACAACAAGGTGTACTGTCCGACTTAACCCAAGTCTCTACGAGCTCGTGAGGAACTTCAAACATGCCGGCGGTGACTACTTATTTTTTAATCCATGTTAAAACTATGATGGAGCGTTTCGGCCATCTTGAACACATTCCGTAAGACGAAAGAAAAATGTCATTATGGCAAGAAAATTCTCTGCTTGAATCCATCAGTTTTGTTTCAGGTAGCATAATGCCTTCGTTTCACTGTCAAAAGTTGCTGTTAATGATCCGGCGCCATCTTTATTCGATGATATTCGACCGGCAAACCCTGTGGCATTGTACAATGTAGTGTACACCACAAATATCTTTCATGATTGAACTTTAAGGTAAAGGGCCAAAGTTTTGGAATGAAGGCGTTCATTTTTAACCTTTCTACTTCAAGCATATTCTCGAGGCATGAATAACAGGTCACGGCGCACTGTCATGTTGAATAACATCAATATCTCAAACTATAACGTGGCAAATTGAGCGAGTGGGCGTGACTGCACGATGAATCATTAGTTACAATTGAACCTCCCTTGACAGAAACGCAAGCCCACACATTTGAGATATTCCTCTGCCGAAGAACTACAGGCATATCGAGACTATATAAATAGAAATCGGGAGGAAATTCAAACCTGAAACGAAGAAGAAACTTCCAGAGACAAGATATCCCAGCAAGACGTCTCCGATGAAGAGACTGGCAGAAGGAAAGAATACAAGTCTGGCAAGGGACCTTGTTGTACGTGCATCATTGCACGCCTGTAAAGAAAGTCTTTGTAGGATGTAGACGGTCCTGATTAATTTATCGTTTATAGAATAAATGTAAGAGAAAAAAGACGGGAATTTCTGTAAGGTGTTAAGAGGCGGGGGGGTGGGGGGGCTTTCATATCACAAAAAGGTGGGGAGATCGGAGGGATAGGTTTGTTGTTTAGTTGATCCAAATCAGAATTGACCCGGCAGTCGTAATTACTGATGGTGCAGTAGTCATCTTTTTCAAATGGTGCTACGGGCAGAAAGCGCATGCGTAACCTCCCACTTGTGGTAACCTTACGCAAATTCGCGCACTGTTGCTTACACCCGACTCCACCCGGACCCGGACCCGGACCCGGACTGGTGACACGTATAATTTCCAAAGAAGCCATAGAAGTTGTCCAAAAGTAGTAGAGATAGATACTAATGTGTTAAGAGACCCTGAGATGACAAGGTGAATGATATAATGACCTATAATCCTAATTTGGCCCATTGAACATCTTTTTATAAAAGTACGGGTTTCTGGAAACTCTGTTATATTTAACTATCTATTTGTGTGTCGTGTTTCATTATATCAAATAAATTCGCAGTGAATCTTCAGTACTGTCCTGTTCACTGACAACTACCATACTACAGTAAAGCCTACTACAAATGAAACTTAATAAATAAACTCACCATCGGTTTTTCTTTAGTTTCTTTGACTCTGCTGCGGGGAAGCGGTACGATGAAAAGAACCTTGCTCTTTTAATTCCTGACTTGTTGCAATTATTAGGCTGCTACGCAGCCGCTCCCCGTGTTAAATATTAAAAATAATTTACGTTTTTATAAAAGTCTAATAATTTTTTATACACAACTTTGAAATGTGAGCTTACAAACGGGCTCTTCGATAACAACAGACGGAAGAAGTGGTCAGTGCAGTGAACGAAACGGACGGAACAAAGTGAGACGAACTTTTGCCTCGGCTTAGTTGATGTCACTCTGTAAAAAGCAGTTACCAATATTCCGTTTCATCACAGACCTACAGCTCAACACTGAGTCGAAGAAACTGAAGCAAGAACAAAAGGTGAGGTTCTTTCAATAACGATCCCGTTGACCTTTTTGGTTTCCCACTCGTGTACTGAAATAAAATCAACCAAGTTCTCATCTAATTCGTTATCAAAAGGTTTCATGTCTATCCTAGAGAGCTGACCCTATACTACCCTGGCGAGCAGCCATGTACCTTCCCACTACACTATTGGTCTCATCACGCAATAAAGATTGTGTGATTAGCAGCCTGCGAACCAAGACAGCTTTTCTCTTGTTTGGCGGAAAATTGATTGTGTTGTAGGCTAATCTCTTTTCTAAAATTGCATTTTAAAAGCGAAAAATCATAATAGAAGGTCAGTGCCGCCATTGT